GTTGATATGGGACTTCCATTATCCAACAACTCGACCAACCTAAATACTGTTCACAACCCAACCCAATACTCTGTTTTCACGACGAGTCAGTTGATATGGGACTTCCATTATCCAACAACTCGAACAACCTAAATACTGTTCACAACCCAACCCAATACTCTATTTTCACGACGAGTTAATTGATAATTTTTTGTTTTAAAATTAACTTATTATAATACATGTTATCTTAATAATTAAAATTTCGTAAAATTCAAATATCAAACATTCGCAAGTCACAAATGCATCACTTATATACCAGTTACAAACTTCAAATATTCTTAATTTTTATAATAGTATTAAAAGTAGGATTGAGTTGTAACCTTATTTTCATGTTTGTTGGATTGACCGACCAAAAAATGTCAACTTGCAAGTCAACTCGAATTTTTCAATTTTTCAAAAATTTTATTTAATACAAACCGGAAAAAAAAAAATTTAACCTTATAGAATGGATTGGTCGAATTCTCGAGTCAACATCAAATAATTAATATATATCACTAACCCAACATCTATCACAATTCTAAATCTTTTTAAGGGGTAAAATACTATTTTTTTCAAAATTAAGTTAATAAAGGGATAAATTTTAATTTATTATTATTATTATTGTTTTTTTAATATTTTAAGCCTTAATTGTAAAATTATCTAGTTCTCTCCTTCAACATAAGATATACCTTCGACCAAAATGTAGGACAATTCCGAGATTATTGTATTGAAAAGTAAATTCTATCCGACACAAATTTAATAGAAAGTTATGAAGATGTTTAACGATATTGTTCATACAGTAGTTGTATAGAACTGTTATTTAAAACATGAAAGGATAGAAACAAGGAACAAATAGACGTATCGAGAGTATAAAGAACGAAGTCTCCCCCGACAATATACGGTATGCTATCAAAACTACTCATGTTCTTAACACTTTGAAGAAACGATTAAGGTAGCCCAAAGTCTAGACTGACTCAAAGTTCGATAACAAAACATGGCTAAATGTTATCACTTCTCGTATCTCCTTTTCAATATAATAATCTTTCTTTCTACTAGTTCACAAGGCGTACCATCTTTCTTTCTACTAATTTACAAGGCGTACTTAGTAAGTAGCTCACATCTAAGGAGCCAACTAGACAGTCCCATTATATATAGAAACAAACCATCCATACAACATACACAAGACATGAACTAAACTTAATCACACTTTTCTTCACAGTGAACTTTTATGATTGTGTGATATTTACTCTCAATATTGAGTGAGTCAAGTCAATTTGGATTCTCGTCGCCTACGGACAACACATGCTTAAGTTTCTGGCCCTATTTTGAGGAGAAGATTTTAGAAAACAAGGGTACAGAGATTTTCGAGAGAGAGTTTGAAAGTAAGATTGAAAGCAATGTTAAGAATTGACGATTAATCGTATAGTACACTTTGAGGCAATTCATGTCTGACAAGCTTAGATGTGATTTCGCCGAACAATCATACAAAATCTAGGTGGGAGGAGTTGAAGACTAGTCACATCCCCCTGTAGTACATTATGAGACGATTCAATTCTGACAGGTCTAGACATGATTTTGCCGAATAGTTATACAAATAGAAAATATGATAGTAAGACAATACAAAATGAATACAAATAAACCGAAAATACGATAGTAAGAAAATACAACATGAAATCAAATAAAGGATTTGACATAATATAGGCATGCAGCCAAGGACAACACGCCTTGAACGAGCATGACTGCAACACTATGCATACTAAATATAATCGAGCTCCACGTGTTCACTCAATGCTCATATTTAGCCCTCACCAAAAGCTCAACGAGACTGACTCTTTGACGCATCGACTCTCGACCATCTGTATGCTTCGGCCTCAATGATTTTCTATGTAGCTCAATACTCGATCCTTGACGATTCGTATCCAAGCTCTCAAACAATTGCGTCGACACTCGACTATTTGTACCCAAGGCCTCAGATGACTTGGTAATGTCCCTTTTCCAGGTGCCCTTGCTTCAAGCACTCATAAATTTACAAATATTTTAGAAAACAAAGCTACTCATTCAATTATATATACTTTTTTAGTTACCATACACAGCAACGTAGGATTCATAACTCTAATATAATCTAATACATTAATGAATGTAAATTCTCATTTTCAACAAAATCGGCAGAAAACCAGGGACATGATCATCATTTGTTCTTAGATTTCACAGGAACTCCTTTGTACATCTCCACACGGTCCTTCAACGCATCTCGTCTTGGCCGAGCAAGTTTGTTGTTCGGGTCGAATAGAAGAACTTCTTCGAAAGCTTTCAGAGCAGACGTGTATTCTTTCTTTTTCTCATATGCATCTCCAAGATTGTTCCAAGCTGTAACATACCCAGGTTGAAGCTTTACAGCAGTTTCAAACTGGGTAATTCCCTTGTCCAGCTTATCGTCACGCACATAACTAACCCCGAGCGCGTTGTAAACCTGCAAACATAGACGATAGAAGCTGTAACAGGATATCATTAAATATCGACCCTCGATCAACTCAACAAGTCAACTAATGCTCGACTGAGAACAACGGAAATATGAAACTGGATGAGAGAACAAAAGATTTCGAAAGCTAAACACGAGGAAGCGTGTTCTTGATACATTCTATACAGTTTCGATTAAAATCAAGGAAAACAAAGCAGATTATCAAATGATTGGATGATCTTGATATTCCAACAATCAGAAATCAGTGAGCTAGAGCGTATCAAACCTGCGCAAGATCTTGATCATCCCCGTCCCACTTATCAATTGCCTGAAGCAAAAACTTCGTGGCAGCGGGATAAAACTTCCTCCTCAGCATCACTGCACCAAGTTCAAAATACTCCATAGCACTGGCATCACCACTTCTCACTTGTTCCTGTCCAACAAATAATGAGAATGGAAAGCGCATTAGCAAAGCTAGACAATCAATGACCTCAGCCAATCACCTACTTTATGGGGTGATTTCAAATGAATAGTTTTCATTTAAAAACTTAGTAGATGTGAGATCCTAAGTCGGTTGGGTAGGAGAACTAAGCATTCTTTACAAGGATGTGGAAACATCTCCCAAGCAGACATGTTTTAAAAACCTTGAGGGGAAGCGCGAAAGAAGAAGCCCAAAGAGGACAATATCTGCTAGCAGTGAGCTTGGGCCATTTACAAATGGAATTAGAGCCAGACATCGGACGATGTGCCAACGAGAAGACTAAGTTCCAAAGGGGGTGGACAAGAGATGGTGTGCCAGCAAAGACGTTGGGACCCGAAGGGGGTGGATTGGGGGGTCCCACATTGATTGGAGAAAGGAACGAGTGCCAGCGAGGACGCTGAGCCCCGAGAAGGGTGGATTGTGAGATCCCATATCAGTTGGGGAGGAGAACTAAGCATTTTTTATAAGAATGTGAAAACCTCTCCCTGCTAGATCAGTTTTAAAAATATTGAGGAGGGCACCTCCTTTTCCTTCAGAAATTTAGAATCATCCCAATCTAAATGGATGAATTCATATCCTTGCATAGAAATATCAATATTGGAAGAAATATTAATATTTGATTAATCTAAGTTCACCTCCATTGTTGAGAGGAAAAAATCTTTTAAGATCTCTTTCCATTTCTTACATGTTACTCAATCTGTAAATGTGGATTCTTACTTGCAGTTCTTTAGCAGAAAGGTCGAGTTCTCTACGAACAAGAACTTGACGTATCACGAAGAAGGTTCCAACCCCAAGAAGACCTAATAGTATTAATAGATAAGATAACTGTATTCCTAATTCAAATAACTCCCCGATCTCGTAAACTGCATTCGTTTTGATTTCTTCCCTAGCAAATACTGATTCAGCAGAAATCAGCCATAAAAGTTGCCCTGATGAGAAAGCAGATACAAATAATGGTAGGCCTTTTTCTGGTTGACAGCCTGCAAAAATAAAAAATGTTCTTCAAACATTCATCACTAAAGAATATAAAGTTTTATTGAGTATATGTTTTGATTATACTGAAGAAAGAACACAACATGAATAACAAGCAGTAAGCTTTTCGATATTTCACAAGGAAAACGAGATGACCAACATAAAAGTTAGCACCCAGCACAAAAGCACTGATCCAAAAGCCTCGAGAAAGAAAGAACTTAACCAGCGATACGAAACTGCAATAAATAAAATGAAGCCCAACCACGGATGCCATCAACAAAGGTAGGAACTTCACACATGAATCAAAATTGCATGGAACTGGAGGAAGAGAAGGCTCGTTATTACAATTTTGAAATAAAGAAACTAGAGCTTTTGAAACGCTCGTCTTCAAACCAAATGCAGAAAACCAAAGCATGGTGACTTAAAGATAAGGAGAGCCCAACCGAAGCAGAAAATCAATGATCTGACCTTCAGTAAAAATGAATTTGGAGACAGTGAAGGATGGCATAGAAGAACATCTGGCAACAAGGGAAGTAAACAGATAAGGGAGAGGAAAACCCAAAAAACATCGAAAAACACAACGACAGCAGATGGCGACAAGGATGACGACACTGACTAACTGCAACTGCAAACACAATGCAAGAACAATGGAAGAAGGTGACGGCAAGACAACAAAGAAAGTAAAACCCAAAGACGAGAGAAAAAAACAAAATGAAAACCCCACGACGACAGCTAATGGTGACAAGAACAGCAATGCTCATGACAGTTGGAAACGATGACTATGGCAGCGGATACTGACTGTTGCATCATGGGCTGGAGGTTCATTGAGTCACCTAGTTTAATGAGTTATGTGTTGAATCTAGTTTGATATACCTTGCACTGTATGTATGAATATAGATTATTAATTTATGTATCAAATCTAGTCTACAGAGGTATTGATAAATTTGTGAATCAACTTGTCTATATTTTGAACTTTCAGTCATAACGTACCGATCACTCGAAACATATCATCCACAAATTAATGAAAATGCATTGATTATAAAGAATGATGAATCAGAGAACAAATTACTCTCAAACATTGTCGATGATTGAGATTCCATTGCCAATTCCCTTTGAAACATCTGCCTTCATCCAGAGTGTAGGAAAAAAAGAAGTTAATAATGAGACAATTTGAAGATTTTTCAATTCAATAGAAAAAAATATATCATCTTATGGAACATTTACCTATTGTCTAATGACTCAACAATCTTCTAAACAATTACGAAACCGAATGACTCAGGAGTCTATGGTCAAAGACTCAAAAGTGGGATAAATTTTCCACCTAAGCAACTACAGAACCCTTTAAAAATTCATTTTAGCTGGTTGGTCTTTAATTATGGAAAATTATTGTGATCAGAGATATATTTTTTCGCACTTAATCTAAGTAGTTACAGAAATATGAACTTAATAAGTGGATACTTTTTGAACAAATGCATACCTGAAGTTTAGAAAACCTCTCAACATTAAGTCTACAGCCCTTCCTAAAGTTCCGCAATATTGGTACGTCGAAATGATGCACAATTTCCTACATAGGAACAACATCATTAGAAGCAATTGAAATGGTGAAAGTGTTCATTAGAGAACAGGCTTGGAGAAACAGAGGCAAAGGATACGTTAGAATTACAAATTTCATCCCTATGATCGGTCAAAACTTAAAATTTAGTCCTATGGTTTAAAAGTTTGAATTCATCCCAATGGTTTGATAAAATCCTCATAAATAGTGATGAAATTATAAGGGTTTTATCAAATTATAGGACCTATTATGAGGTTTTATCAAACTATATGAACGAAATTTTGACTTTTAAAATCATGTGTGAGTTCCTTCGTTGGTTGGAGAGGAGAACAAAACATTCCTTATAAGAATGTGAAAACCTCTCTTTAGTGTACGTGTTTTAAAACCTTGAGGGGAAGTCTAGAAGGGAAAGCCCAAAGAGAACAATATTTGCTAGCGGTGGGCTTGGGTTGTTACAAATGATATCAGAGACACCAAACAGTGTGCCAATGAGGACACTGGGCCCCAAGGGGGTGGATTGAGAGTTCCCACGTTGGTTGGAGAGAGGAACAAAGCATTCCTTATAAAGATGTGAAATCCTCTCCTTAGTAGACGCGTTTTAAAACCTTGAGGGGAAACCCGAAAAAGAAAGTCTAAAGAGGACAATATCTGCTAGTGGTGGGCTTGGGTTGTTACACCATGTGAACTAAACTAGAACTTTCTCCAAACCATAGAGACTAACTTTATAATTTAACCAAAAAAAACATTACAGATACTGTAATAAAAACAAGTGCTACCAAGAAACAAATTATTAAATAATTTTCAGGCTCTTGTAGAATCTAAACATTATGTTTTGGACAAACAATTAATATATCGAACACGTTCGGACTAAAATGATTTCAGGAATTCGACCATTACAAAATTCAAACCTAACTTGAAAGATCACGTAGCATCAGAAGAATTTTCACTAAGAACTTGAAACATATCATGACCAAAAGAGAAATTTTGTGCTTAAATGAACACAAACAGTCATGTTGATTTTTTTTACGATCAAAGTAACTTTGAAAATTCTAAAAACACTTCAATGCACCTTCATTCAGTGGAAAGAATTTAAAAAATGTTTCCGGAAAAAATGCTTCTTCTTTAAAATCAATACTCAGAAACGATCATTTCAAACTGCCTCAAAGTTTCATAGCCTTTTCCAACGTTTTAAGAACCGGCAGATTTCATTTTTTCAGGATAGAAATCTAAAAAGAGTTCATCTCAAACAGGACTTATGAATCAATTCAAGAGCAAAACACAGTTCCTCAAATTTAAAAATACGAAAATACAAAAATAGAATTCGATTCCACTTCCTCAAATTTCAACCAGGATTCAATAACTGAAGCTCACTAGCATGATACAAGAAACAACACCATATTTTATAAGTTAAAGAAAACAGAATCAATCATTCTTAAGAGAAATCCAATAATTCATAAGAAGAAGAGATAAATCTCACCTGAAGAACGAGATTCTGAGGCTTGAGCTGGAGAGACCCAAATGGAAGGAAAGAATGAGAAGGAGAAAGAGATGGTGAACGATGAAGACACAAACTCGTCTGTAAAGCCATTTTCTGGGATTTTCAGCGCTCAATTTGAGGTTTGTTGTTCTGAAACTTCTGAAAATTGTTGATATGGTTTTGGCAGAAAGAAGGTGCGAGTGTCCAGAAGATAATGGTAAAAATCAAATTGATAGAAGGAAGCCAACCGTTTATTGTATCTGCTAAAATCTGGACCGTTAATTCATCATCCACATGGGAAAAAGACAAAAAGAAAAATTAATTTTATATTTTGAAAAATAATGTGTTGCAATCTTAGTGGATGACCCCATATTTGTATTTATTTATTTATTAACTTTAAAAATTAGGTAATATATTTTTATTATTGGGATAAACGAAAATAATATACGAACTGTTACAGATATATTTGGTAGATTATATTTCATTAGGCAGCTAAATCTGTAAAAGCAATATTTACGGTTCTGAAACTATATATATACCTTATTAGTCAGTGCTCGTAATTTCTTCGGTATATATCTAAAGTCATCAATAAAACCTTTAACCAATATTCCTCCTTGAATTTTCTCTTCTTTATGTTCATCTTGATCCTTTGTGAGCGTTGTTGTGCGATCCTAACATATATGACTAACAAGCTTTTCTCCCCGCAACATTCTTTACATTTTTTTGGGTTATAGTCCCACTTATAAAGGGTTTCGTTGTCTTGATTCCACCACCGCTAAGCTATATATCACCTGTCAAACTCAATTTGAGGAAACTTACTTCATGTTGTCTCTAGCTCCCATGCCCAACCTCTTTCCTCTCGTCGCATTTCAAATTTCTTTGAACCACATCTTTACCATATTGATTCATTTCCGTACCACTTCTTCACCGCACATTCCTCGATCCAGTTCATCTTCGTGTGATATTTGTTCTGACTTTTTGGATGAGTTTGTGCAGGTAGATAACTCAAAAAAAAAAAAAAAAGTCGGTTAAAGCCCAACGTGCAAAATGGACATTTTACCCCTGGAGGGGTCTTAAGGGATCTCCACAGAATTCCTGCAAAAGAGAGAGGTGTGAGAAAGAAGGTTGAGAGAAAGTTTGATAAAGAAACCTGAATAGCTGGAGTCTTCGTCGTAGAGTCACCGACGGAATCCATTCCCTACTAAGACCTACACTTTCGAGTCCTTCTTAGAGAGAAGAAAGAACTTGTGTTGTTGAGATTTCCTCATCTTTCGTCAAGATCAGAAAGAAAACCCGCAAGGTAAGATTTCGAACGATACTCTTCAGATCTGAGATCTTTGTTTGAGAGTAGAGTGTTTAAGTTTTACTACCTTCATCCAGGGAAGATCCGCCACTGATTTTGTGAGGAAATCGGACGAAACGTTGAGATCTGTGAATCTTTCCAAAAACGGTAAGGATGTTACCGGACCTCTTTCCGATGCTCATAACTCGTCCTATGACTAAGTAAAAATCAAGAAAAAAAATATTGGCACGTAGGTTGAAGTATGATCTAAAACTTTGTTGAAAAAGCCATTATTGTCTCGATTAAGAATCGAGAGATAGAAAATGGAAAGTTCCTCGGAAAACTAATCGAAAACCTTGACGTGTCAACTGGCTAGAGGACCGCGTGCGCCAACCACCTTCGGACACGCGTCGAACGCCGCCTGGGAAAACACGGCTCAAGCCTTCCTGCGACATGCGTCCCCGGCAACGCAACCCGACTCGCGTTCCTCGACTGACCTGATACCCGCGCGGCGAAACGAACCAAACCGATGACCCGCGGTCCACCTAAACCACTGTTTCAGAACCGAATCGACGACTCGAGACTGTAGAAAACCCTGGGCGCGTGACACTCACACGTGGAAGCTGCGAGTGGTTGCATCCCGGCGCGTGGAAGCGCGTGCAAGCTCATTTTCAACCCTTTTGACTTCTGTTTTCCTATTTTCCTCCTGATTCCAATCCTAACTCCATTCTATATGAAATAGGACCTAATTGAGGAAAATCACTATCTTTTGATACGCCAATTGTGTGGAAACGCTGTGTTAGGGCATGCATCATCCAAGTAAGTCACCACACGAAATTTTAGGAAGTAATAATTGTAGGAGTCGCTTGGAATGTATGCATGCTAGTTTAATTATCTTAGGTCATAGCTTTTTGTTATTGATCGTAGGTTATCGATTATTAAAAGTAAGATGTATGTTGTGAAATATTATGAGTATTACCTGAGTACTGCTGTTATGTTTTAAGTTTTCGCTTATTATGTATATGTATATTTTCATGCTAAAAGGAGGATGGGAAATTGTGAACTCTGCGCTCCGGGAGTTGATGGATGTTATCATCCCGTTGAGCTTGTATGTTTACTTTGCATGAAACATGTTTGATGACTTTGGATGATAGTTATGTACGTACTCAATTAGTTTTTATGACTCGCATTTATGATTAAGTCTACGAATTCTTGGTTAGAGTAACAAGACACTATGGTATAGACCTAATCCTTTCCCTAGTAGAGCAACAGACCACCACGACGTACGAAGCCTCATTAGAGTACCCTTAGGCTACTGGTGTGTGATTGGTGTCATAGCTTCGTAGGGGACCAGGGGGTTCCTGATCAGAATCCGACTGCTCTTAGCCGTTTTAGCATGGAAAACGTGTGCCCACGTCGTATAGACCATTTAGCTGGATGGGTTAAGGGGGGTAGCTCTCCCCGACCAGGGGGACTGTCATGGGCCTAGTGGGTTGCAGCTCACTTCCTAGGTAAGTTACCAGATAGTCTCAGAGCCATGCCGAAGTAGCTACTCGTAGGGCACCAGTCATTACACAAGTCAGCATAAGGGAGTTCTTAAGAATCTTTAAACGAAAGGACAAAGGACCAAGAAGTCGCGAGGGGCAAGTCCCAAGGTGTTAAAACGGAAACCAGATGTCCAGAGCTAAAGTAGAGTCCGTGGGGGTTTGTTAAGATTAGGATGCGATAAGAGCCTATAAGTAGGTGGCTTACTAAGTATAATTTTATACTCATTCTTGCTATACCTTTCTTTTTCAGGTACGTGAGGCGTCGAGTCAAGAGAGGGCACGTTGATCGATGTGGGTTGTCACAGAGGAAGCGTGTCCCGGGGTGTCAGTCTAGTTTTACTGAATAGTACACTTTGTCTTTCATGTTTCTCTTCTTGTTTTTACCTAGACAAATATGTTCTTTTAGTAATGAAACGTTTTTCTTACGAAATAAATGAAATACTTTTGAAATAATGTTTTCCTTGAATTTCTCGCTTACACACTACATGTCATAGTCATTGTTAGTCACGGCTTGAGGTAATTTATTTTGGGTCGTGACAATACTTCTCTTGCAGGTTCCTCTTTGCCACCCTCGACTTCTGAACTGATCTTTATTGAACCTGCTACAATTCCTCTTCTTCTTTGGGCTCTCATCATACGACCACACGAGCCAAAGATGGTATCTTCAAGACTCGTCATCCAACAAATCTTGATATTTTGGGCTCATCTGGACTTCTTTATGCTCTTCATGCATCCACTAAGCCAAAAGAATTCGAATCTGCGGTTAAGAATCCTACTTGGGTTGCTGCCATGAATGAAGGAATTTGAGCTTTACAATAAAATCATACTTGGACTTTGATTCCTCGCCCTGCCAACACCAACATGTGGGCTTTAAATGAGTGTTTCGCATTAAATATTTTTCTGATGGATCCGTCGAGTGTTTCAAGGCTCGTCTTCTTGATGCCAAAGGTTATACTTAAATTCCTAGTCTCGACTATACTGACACTTTTAGTCCAGTTGTCAAAGTTACCACTGTTCGTGTTGTGCTTTCTATTGCAATCACAACTAAATGGCCTCTTTAGCAACTTGATGTTAAGAATGCTTTCCTCAATGACACTCTTATTGAACATGTTCATATGGAACAATCTCATGGGTATATTGATCCTCGATTTCGTACTCATGTCTGTTTATTAAAGAAAGTCCTCTATGACTTATAGCAAGCTCCTCGTGCCTTGTTTCAACTTTTTAGCTCATTTTTTCTCACACTTGATTTTTCTTGCAATCAAGCTGACACGTCTTTTATTGTCTTTTATCAGTAATCTAACCTTATCTATCTACTTCTTTATGGTGATAACATGATTGTTACTGGCAACAACCCATCTCTTATTGATAGTTTTTTTTATGCCGATAACATTACTGTTACTAGCAACAACTCATCTCTTATTGACAGATTTACTCACAAGTTTCATTCTGGGTTTTCTATCAAGGATTTGGGTTCTCTCAGTTACTTTCTTGGTCTTGAAGTTTCACCCACTCCGGATGATCTCTTTATTAGTTAGTAAAATATGCTCGAGATATTTTTTTTGCTTGCTCAGTTGCTCGATGACAAACCAGTCCACACCCCATGGTTGTTTCTCAACAACTAACTACTGATGGTTCTCCTTTCTCTTATTCTACTCTCTATTGATCTCTTGTTGGCGCCCTCTAGTACTTGAGATATTGCCCATGCTGTCAATTCTGTCACTCAATTTTTGCTTTCAATTTTTGCATGCCTTTATTGCAGATCTCTTTCTTGTTGTTAAACGTATTATTTGCTATGTTAAGAGAACACTCCACTTTGGTCTTATCTTTCGTCCATCCATTATTCCTAGTACGCTAGTGGCTTATTCGGATGCTGACTAGGTTAGTTGTCCCGATATCACCATTTTACATTTGATTATTCTATTTATCTTGGTAACAATCTCGTTTCTTGGAGTGCCAAAAAGCAACCTACTGTCTCGCACTCTAGCTGTGAATCTGAATATCGTTCTCTTGCCACGACTGTTGCTGAACTTATTTGGGTCACACATCTTTTGCATGACTTCAAGGTTCCTATTTCGTGCCACCCTTACTCTTATGTGACAACATAAGTGCTATTTTTTTGAGCTCTAATCCCGTTTCTCACAAGAGGCCAAACATGTTGAACTAGATTATCATTTCCTTCGGGAACTTGTTATCGATGGCAAATTTCGCACACAATATGTACCTTTCCATCTCCAAGTTGCTAACATCTTCACAAAAAAGTGTTTTTAGACCTCTCTTTGAACTTTTCAGATCCAAACTTCACATTCGCTCAAATTCAATGCTCACCTTGCAAGGTGGTATTAAGAATATTTAGTCTTGAATTATGATTTATAATATTTAACATATTTGACTATTTATTATAGGCAAATATTTTGTATGATATTTAACTTCAATTATAGATTAATATAAGTATTATATTTTTGCTTTTATTATAGTCAAATATCTTATATCCATTTATTACTCTTTTCATTTATTGTTCTTTCTATATCATTTTAATTTTTTTTATGAACTAGTTTTGACCGAAAATAACTCAAATGGCTAAGATCCGGAATGACCAAAATACCCCTCAACCCTCGAGGGTTGACTTTGATTTTTCTTTTATTTTTCTTTTATTTTATTTTATACCATTTTTAGTTGCCCAACATTTTCTAAGCATTTTTCTCTTCTACCACATTTTAAAATTTAGCTTCTAAGATTCTAAAAAAATTCCTTAATTTAAAATTTTAAACGAGAAATTTGCTCGTGTCGGGACGTGTGTTACAACATCTCAATGCTAAGCTAGTGTCAAGCTCAACGCCCCTTAAGGTGCCACGACACTCTTCAGTGCAAAAAAGCATGTGTCTACGTCTCGATGCTACCCAAAAATTTCTATAGTATTCACGCATGTTTGGATAGCACCTTGACAATGCACATATTTTTCCTATATATTCTCCTTTTATAGTCGAATTGAGGGAGACCAATTTCACGAGAAAATTCGTATTTTTGATTTATAAATATTTTTTGAAATCTAGAAAACCTTTCGATATCATGAAAGAATTTTCAAGCTCGTGATTTAGGAGATCGCACATGACCGAAAATCAACACACGACATTAGTTCTCTCTTTCTCTTCTATTTTACCGTTGTTGTTATGTGTCTTACGTTTTCGTTAATATCATGTTTGTTATTGAAAACTAGACAACATGTTGGTTTCATAACCTTGCATGAGAGTCTAACATGCTAAATCAATTTCCTAATGTTCGGACTTCATTTTCAAGGTTTCGAAACTTAGGCTACAACTAAAAGAACATAGACGAAAGCACATAAAATAAAATAAAAATAAAATAAAATATAAATCAAATGTAAGCAAACAATACCATAGTTAAATCAAAACACAATCCGATTACAACTTAGTGATGTTCAAGTTTATTACAAACGAGAACGAGTTTGGGTTATATTTACAAACAAATATCAAAAGACCAACATGATGTAAGAAATTATCAAAATGCCCCTATGATGAGATTTGTTATGAATGTTGCTTTACGTGCTTTTCATTGTGTTAGAGAGAAAGATAGGTTATTGTGATCTTATCTACAAGGGATTGATGGATGTTATCTTCCCATTGAGCTTGTTTGCTTGTATGTTTGCATGATATAGTATGTGTTAGCTCCAGGTGTTTGACTATGTGTTCTCTCTGTAGAACATGTTTATCTGCACAAAACTAGGGTGTTAGAGTTAGGTTGGCTAGATGATGACCTAGGTCAAGTTGCCTCCAATAGACTGGGCATTTTAGGATCGTGAGCGACGGTCAGAGAATCTAGACCTTAGTGCTTTAAGACTAAGAAATACTCAAGGAGTCAAAATAGAACAGCCTAGAGCTCGACGACTGTGTTAAGCTACCTAGCCGCCTTAGGAACCCAATAAACCTTCTCAACTTCGAGATATGACCAAGGTATAGTTCAAATTATGGATTATGCAATTAGGTGATATATAGGTGTAACTACCTAGAAAAGCATGCATGAGAGAACTCAGTTAAGATTAGGGCGCTATAGCTAGTGCGACTTACATGTTGACCAAGTTCAATATGTGTTCCATTAGACCCTGCACCCCAGTATCATTAGTGGCGATCAGAGGTCCCTAAGAACCTCGTAGGCCTCCACGACAACCAAGAATGATCAAGGTAGCTCATTAGGCTATAGCAATGTGAACAGTCTCACATGTCTGTCCACTACCCTTTCCACTTCAGTATCGTATTGTCGAGACTCTACTTCGGTTTCTACCATGGATCTAGGCGTTGCTTGTTAGGTTCATGCGACATGTGCCCCAACCTAGTGTAAATGACCAAAGGTCTCATAAAACAAGACCCTTGTGCTGTAAACCCGTCCCTGAGCGTAGGTTAATCTAGTATCTAACCAGCACACAGGGGATTGCTTCCCCCAAACTTTGAAGACTTTATGGTCCTGTGGGAGAGTTGTCGGGTAACCCCCATGGGTGATGCTCAAATTTTTGTTTAGATTCAGATCCAGCCATAGTGTCTTGCAACTTATGAGTCCCCTCCTCAACCTAGAACATTGATCATTCACTACATAAGCAAGACACGCCACTTAAGTACTAGAAAAGAAAGGACAAAAAAATCGCACAGACCCCTATGTGTACGCTTCAGTTCAGAGACATGCTCGAAAGTTGAAAGTTGGGGTACCCAATTGCTCAGAGAGCATTGAAAACTAAGCCCAAACTTCCTAGAGCAAAGAGTAAAGCCCGTGATACATACTAAGTTAAGGATGCGTTGAGAGCCTACAAGTAGGTTACTTATTAAGTATTATTATACTCACTCCTTTTTCTTTTCTTTTTCAGGTGTTTACAGGCTGCTGCACGAGGTGAATGAGCATTCAAGAGTTGTGTAGTCACAGTCGGGGTTGTTTTAGAGTGCTAGCCTGTTTTTACATTTTTAAGGCTTTTATATTTTTGTTTTAGAATGGTTTCCCGTTTGTAATATTTTAAACAACTTCGTCTTATAATTGGACTTAATTTTGTATTTTTTGGTGTTCACTTTTTTTTAATTTAAATTTTAGCGGATTTTATTTTTTTCTAATTTTTTTTAATTATTTTCGCTTTGGTCTTTTTAGTCTTGATTCGAGTCTCACATGCTAGAGCTCTCACTTTGCATGCAAGAGGTACCACAGGTACGATTATCTACTCAGTAAGTAGCCTACCACACTCTTTTTCTCCTTGTTCTTGTTGTAAGTACTTGGGCCGACTTTGATCCTTTTATTTTGAGATCTCAACCTTAGTTCTAATTTAAGGGTCTTAGTATTATTGTTCTTGGTGTGTACTCGGTAAGTAGCCTGTCACACTCTTTCTTCCCTTGTTCTTGTTGTAAGTATTTACGCGAACTTTGGTCCTTGAATTC